AGGAACATACGGCTCCTCGAGATACTTGATCTCCTCAGGAGACAGCTGAACCTTAATAGCAGCAACAGCCTCATCAATCCGCTTCACACTGTGAAGTCCAAGGATAGGGTTCTCGCCAGGGTGAGTCAAAGACCAAGCAATAGCAATTTGAGCCATGCTCACGCCCTTCTTATTGGCGATTTCCTCAACTCGGTCGATGATAGCCTTATCAGCCTCGGACTCGCGACTACGGACAAACATCTTCAGCGCGCCGTCCGTATTCTCGCGCACCGTCTCACGCGAGCCCCAGGGCCGCGCCAGCGCGCCACGGGCAATAGGTGACCACGGGATAATGCCGACTCCAGCGTCTTGGCAGTAGGGGATCATCTCGCGCTCTTCTTCACGGAAGAGGAGGTTGTGGAAGTTTTGCATGCAGATGAATTTGTGCCATCCGTTGCGCTCGGCGATGTTTTGCAGGGATTGGAATTCCCAGGCCGCCATCTGGTTGCTGGGTTAGCGTGGGAATCTTGGATATTAGGGAGATGGCAGAGAAAAGAAAGAGAAATAGGTAGGAGTGGAAAACATGATGGACATACCGAGCTAGCACCAATGTACCGAACCTTCCCGCTCTCGACGACATCGTTCAGCGCCTTCATGATCTCCTCGCGCGGAGTATCCCGGTCCAAACGGTGGATCTGCAGCACGTCGATGTATGTACCCAGACGTTCCACGCTGGCATCGACCGCATCGAAGATGTGCTTGCGTGACAAGCCGGTGCGGTTGACGAAGGGGCCGTCGTTCGTGGCGGATGCGGCGATGGGTGGGAATTTGCCTTCGTCGTCGACGCCGAAGAAACACTTGGTTAGGATTACCACGCGGTTACGAGGGATGTTGTACTTCTTCAGGGCTTTTCCGACGACTTCTTCGGATTTGCCGTGGGAGTAGACATCCGCCTAGACGGTAAATATTAGTAGCTTATTCGGTGGTTTTCTAACAAGGTCTTTGTTTACCGTGTCCCAGGTGTTGATTCCCTGCTTGTAGGCATGCTCAATCAGGGGAAGTGAGTCTTCCTCATCGAGAACCCAGTCTTGCCATTGCTTGCTGCCATATCCCATAGTTCCAAGGATGATCTTGGAGATCTTCAGACCTGAGTTTCCAAGGCTGTTATTTATTTGGTATCAGCATCTTGTTCGAGTAAAATGTGTGATGCGGGGGTTATGTACCGAACATATTCCATCTTATTGTCGGCCATTGTGATATTTGTGGGTTTGTTTATGTGAGCTCTAGCAATAACAAAAAAATATCAGTTACTATAATTTATGTATTGATCTTGATTCGCATTGAATATGACGTCAATTTCCAAGGTACGCCCAGGGGCAGAGGGGAGCTCACCTGTCAACACAATTTATTTATGGGTGTTGGTGGAACAAGGAAAGAAACAAACGCGAAAATTCCTGAGTTTCTTTTCGACGAAATGACTCAGAAGAGATCCAAATAGCTCATTAATAATCCAAGTGAATCTGCCGAAAACCACAAGCGTGGGGCTCATATAGCCGATGAATTACCGGGATATCCACCTTAAATGTTGATCGGTCCAGAACATCGGATATCAAGATGTCAAGATCTACGCGATGGAGCCAATATATGCATTTATGTTATACAGTTACATACAGTGTAATTTTACAATAAATCAGAAATGTAGCACGATCTCGGGTGGTATTAGTTGTTGAATTAGGGTCTACAATATAGATACATTTCTGCACATCATAGATCGCTTAACCCGAAAACATGTTGGATTCTTACAACCTTGAAAACTAGCTATGCGTAGTAACATTCCTCAACTCTTGACCGATGGCTCACCAGGATATGACCATGCGCCCAACAAGTGTAAGACTTGGCTTGTCACACGATACAACACGTTGCTTGGTGGTGCAAGGATATGAGAAGCAGGCTCCACATTCCTTTCTGGCTTCTGGATATCAGTTGGGGGATGAACCCAAGGGAAATGATTGGGCACGAATCCATCAATTGTCACACCATTGCCGAAACTTGCATATTTTTCATCCGGGTTCTCGTAGACTAGATCAAAGTCTTCCCAGCGGACAATCTCGGTTGCCGCGTAGTAATGGAGGACAGTACCGGGCCAGGGGACAACCACCTTTCCATTGTCATTCTTGTCTGTTCCACCAAGGATGAGTCAATTCACAAAGTTAGGAACAAGGGGTAGGGATCTTTACTTACACCATGATTTGCATGGTCCTGACCAGACCATGTGAGGCATTCTCGACTGAACCCATTGGTTAAATGCACGTTGAGCCCGCTGCGTCACAGACACGGATCGCAGTCTGTCTGTTTGGAGTCGTGATAGGATTCGAATCATGTAGTCGCTTGCTCTCTCGATGCCTGGGATGGCGGATCCATTCACAGGGCAAATTGGGGGGTTGAAAACTGTCCAAGATACAAGGGTTAGGCACAAAAGCCAACAAAAACCATTCAAGTTCTTACCAAAGAAGTTAGGGAACTCAGCGACCATCGCCGCCATATAGCTCTCACAAGGTCCTTCGCGATCCCAGTCTTCACTCAGCGATCGTCCAGCGCGGCCAGTAACTGGGAACCGTGGCTGGTATGGCTCGAATCCGGTAGCGTATACCAGTATGTCACACTCGTACTCCCCTCCAGATTCAGTGATGAGGCTGTCCTCGGTCAGCTTTTTAATTGAGTCATACACATATATGGCATTCGGCTTTTGCAACGCATCCAGATAGTGACCACCGGGCGTAAAGCGACGACAGCCAGCCTCGAACTCTGGTAGGAGTGCATCCAAAAGATCGGGGTTTGTGATCTTGGACTTCATGAATGAAAGTGCCAATGATGTGAAATTGGCTTGTGATTTGGTCCCTCTCCAGAGTCCCATGAAACTTGTGGCAAGTCTCTGCTCTAATGAGATGCAGAAGTTATAATAGCGCATGGGACAGGCTTGGAGAGCCTGCTTCTGCTTGGTCGAGTCTAGATATGGATAAGCGCTTCTGTTGCAAATTCGTTTCCTTTTGCGGTAAGGCGAAACACTCACATTCGCGCTGGACGGTACTATCTTCAGCCAATGCATGTGGGAGAATCCACGTCGGGCCTCGCGCAATGTTTATTATTTTCGAAACAACTTGAGTGCCCGGCGCGGTCAGTGTGGTGTGTCTTCGGTGTGACTCTGCCACTCACCTGGCTGTAAAGCTGCCACGCATTGAATAGCGCTTGCACCATTCCCAACCACAATCACCCGCTTGTCCTTGACAGCCAAGTCGGCTGGCCAGTTTGCAGTATGCACTTGGATTCCTCGGAAGGTTTTCTGGCCTTCAATCTTGGGGAATTTGTAGTTGTTCAACCGTCCGACGGCATAGACAAAGGCATCAGCAAAGACAGTCTTTTCTTCACCGGAAACCACGTTGCAGAGAACAACTTTCCATTTTGAGGAGTCTTCGTTCCATTGCGCCAAGACGCATTTGGTGTTGAAGGTCATGAAGCGGCGAAGATTGTGCATGTCGGCCACATCCTCCAGATATTTGTGAATTTCGGGGGCTGGAGGATAAAGTGATGACCATGAGGGATTGGGTGCCCAATTAAACTGGTAGGTATGGGAAGGTACATCGCATGTGCATCTATAGCAAGACATTAGCGAACTCGTTCATCTGATAACAAAAGCTCGCAGGAATATAGTACATACCCGGGATACCGATTTTCATACCATGTACCCCCAAGGGAAGGATTTCTGTCATAGATTTCGAGGTCGATACCTGATAATGATGTGGTCGCATCATGTGCGAATTGGATCCCTGAAATACTACGACAATCTGTTAGAAGTGGTTATCGCTCGAGTTCAGTATGCACATACCCAGCACCGATAACCACAATCTTCAACGGGCGTGCCACAAAAGCACTTGGAATGAGATCCATTGCAGGTGATGTGAAAGAAGGTTGCAAAAGAAAAAAAAAATAAGAAGAAGAGCTCCAGGGCTGAGAAGAACTGGGGAGACAGGTCATATATGATAACGTGTCTCGTCTTGTCTCGTCTTCTGCAGAACGACACGTGCTCCCTGAAGAAAGGAATAACAGAGAGCGTGTAATTACATCTTTCTTTGTTTATATGTATAGGCCTACATAGTCTACTTCACGCTTTCAGGGTGTTCCCGACTCCACCGCGAGGCACGACAAGACACAGGGAAGACAAGGAAAAAGCTTCCAAACTTTCTCTGTAGCCAGTGAAATCTCAATATAGCATTGCGGGAAAAACAACCAGTAGATTCCAAATTAAAATTCTTGGAGAATGATAAATTTAGTAATTCAAAGCCCTAGAGGGTGTATGAGATTAAGTTTTACAGATCACTTCCATAGCTGAATTAGGATGTTGGAAGCTATCGAGGTCACCGAGTCAACTGCGGATTGTGGTAATAGCACTCACTGGCTACGCTCCATGCATCTACGGTGGCGATCTTGGGTAAAAACGCGATATCCAAGTAGTCCAACAAAGCGCGAAGCGTAGTGGTAGAACCATATTTCAAGCCAGGTAAATATGGAATAAGGAAAAGTGTGCATTAACTTGTCCTTTTTATAAATCAAGTAGTATAGTTATGTGAGAGTCTTGGAATATTCACCACATGTTCTATAGAAAAAGCAAAACATGGGCTATTTAAAAAGAAAAAGAAAATATAGTACCGCCAAGAAAGGCAAAAGTACATCGCTGAGGTTACTTATATGGAAGGGTTAAGGCGGTTCTTGAAAAGAGGTGCTATTAAATTCACTATATAACAGAAACGATGATAGAGAAAAGGTATTTACTGAAACCCCAGAGAGCTTATAACCTCAAGATACACCAACTAGACAAAGAGAGCGTTAAGCAAGTAGAAGACCAAAACATTGAAGATCTTCCCAGGGCGTCTCTACGCGCGTTGATCCCTTGCCATTTATATCATGACCGGGGCATTCAGAATTCACTTCTCGTCGCCTCTCTAATCTCGTGCTCGATACCCAATATGCTGATAACGGATTATATGACCAGTACGTCAACTCCACACTATACGCCAACAAAAAAGATCTAACAGAACCAGACAGAATTCTCAATCCCGAATGGGATCCAGTCGAGTTCCGACCTCAGGTAGCGTGGCGCGAAATCCTGAGCCAGCCAGTCAGGTGCATTCGGGCCGTATGTCTGTCACCCCCCGACTACTATCATCCAAACATCTGGGCCTTTTTGCTGTCCACGTCGGAAGAAGATCCGACAGCGATAAGACTTGAATGTCAACCAACCGAGCGCCGCAGAACCACCATCGTTCTACAAGGTTCTAGAGCCAGAATTTTGTTCCGAAGAGAACCGGTCATGATCTTGGTCCCAAACGGTGCGGCAGCAACCTTTGTCCTGAGGGTGAACGAGGGATTCACGGTGGAGGATATCTACAGCCTAATTGTTAGGAATAACCGGCACAAATACGAGATTGACGAAGAAGGTTGGAATAGCCGAACCTGGGTTTATGATCAAATGCACCTCTTCAACCGGCATGGTATTTTCGCCTACCAGGGCGAGGTCGAACTTGTGGATGATGCACTCCATAAAAGGTGGCCAGAGGGGGGACCTAACATGCTTGAGGAAGGGGCTTACTATGGGTGAAATCAAATGAATCAGACCAAAGTACTTTTTTCTTTGATGCAGGTCTTGATGACGAGATGGTCTTTGATCAAATTTGCTACAGCAAGAACAAGTGTTCCTTTGTATTGCTTTCTTTTTTCATCTAGCTGCACAAACAATGAGAGTTTGCTACAACATACATACTGAAGAGTGGAACGCTCAAGGCAGTATGCTCAAGACACATGGGTCGATTCAGTCCTTGTAATCCAGATAGATACCTAATTTTTTCATGCAAAGGAACCCGCACGCCACCCAATGAGTGAATCCAAAGATGTGTAGATGTGTGTATTGCTAACATGTAACTATATACTACTTATATCTTCCGTAATTCAACAATTACATAATAAATGGTGCAATAAAAGAAAAGAAAGACAAGACAAATGCGTACAACATAGTGAGGACCAGGTTTCCCACTACAATATTACGACGGTGTATAGCGCTCAATGCCAAATGTCTGATTCTAATGCCTGGATGTCTTATTTTGGCCTGACTTATGCCTGAACTAAGCCTTGTTTTAGGCCACTTCGGGGCCTCTCTATGGAGTGTAATGTAACTTACTCTTCATTGAATAACTCGGCGCCGTTAACCCATAAAAATGGAGATCGAAGGCTTCATTTTCATTCCTACCTTAGGCTAGCGGAACCAGTGTATCCATGTACATTGCTTATTAAGGGGTCTATAATAGTAATTCATGTATTTTTATATTTCTGCCAGGCCAAAATAAAGCATTCGGCATTGGGCGCTATACACCGTCGAACTAAATGAGTATGTAATCCATGTCGACTTGGAACCTTGGAACCTGGGCAAGTGCAGGTGCTCCCGGGCTGATCAGTACCGTTATCATCCTCCTCATCCGCCCTGGAGGGCTCCAGGGCTGTTTTTGACGACTTGCGATTCTCCCTGTTTCTACTGACGACCAAAACAACATCACAAATAGCTCCCCTCTGCGTCCAAACCTGTGTGATCGAGCGTATAGAAGATTCCTCATCCGCTTTCTCCTCTGGCGCCCAACCGTTCTATATCATCTCTAGTGGAGACTTTAAGCGTAGAAAGCTCGTATTATCTGAGGAAAGTATAAATACAGTTTTTTAATCCCTCGAAAATAAAAATCTATCAGCGAATATTGGCAGCTCAATTTCTTCCACCCCCTCTTCCATCTTAAATTCACACCTTCCACACTTCACTCATTCCGAGCAATAGGCCTCATTGTTGGGCCTTGCCACTTATGCCGTCCGCGAACAATCCAATCTCCACAAGCAAACAACATAACAAACCCAAGGACAGGCCCGGCATAATTCATATTCTCGGCGGTAACCGGCAGCGTCGCCGGAAAGGGAAGGAAGATAACGAAATAGGTAGCGAAGAGAATAGCAAGGAGATTCATGGGGAGGCCAAATTTTCCTAGATTGAATGTTCCCTGCGGGATATCCTGGGGCGCCATAAAGCGCTTTAAGACAAGGAGAACGAGAGGAATAAGATAGGAAATATAGAGACCGAGCGTGCTGAGCGAGAGAATAGCGTTGAATGCAGCCGTGGATCCGATCTGGATGAACGAGAGCAGGAATATGCACGATGCAACTAGGAATAAAGCACGGAGGGGGATTTTATAGGTTGCATCGACGACGGCAAAGAACTCAGAGAAGGGGAGTCCGTTGTCTCGAGCGAAAGCCCAGGTGAGACGTGTGACGGAGGCGAGGCCGTTGAAAAGGGCGATCCAGCCGGGAAGCATACCCAGTGTCATAAGAACGAAGGCGGCTGCCTTGGATCCGGTTGCTTGGTAGGCGATTGTGATGATAGGGTAGCCTGTTGGGCTGGTGAGGGCTTCTGTGTAGTCACCCATACAGTAGAGGATTGCGATCAGGTAGGAGAATGCAAGTGTTCCATTGATTAGGGTACCGTAGATCATGGAGCGGGGAACGACAACTTTGGCATTTTTGATTTCTTCGGCCATGTGGATGATGCCGTCGACACCTGTTGGTATGGATTAGATTGTTGAACATTCTGATGGCGAAGGGACATACCAGCCAGGGGAGTAATGACACCAAGAAGACCGACGGAGAATGTAACTCCGGAATCTTTCCAGCCACTCAAGCCGCCGACAAAAGTGTCCCAGACAAATGAGTCCGGGTTTCGAGGGGCGAGGATAACGAAGACAGCAATTGTGACGGGTAAAAAGACGACATGCATGATACCTGCAGCAACCTCAATAGCTCCCAAGAGGCGACGCGCAAATATATTGATGATGATCGGGATGATGGCAACTGCCCACATAAGCAGCGTACCGCGCCATCTCACAAGCTCATAGTCAGGGTACGCCAGCACAACCATACCCTGGATTTGGGTTCCGATAAAATAAGGTGCGATACAGACTAGCGCGCTCCAACTAAAAACAGTAGTCCAGCCTTATTACTTAGCATGTTGAACATGTGACTAGAAACGGAAAGGGCTATTCATGAGCTCACCCTGGAAGAAACTGATGAATCGACGACCACGAGGCGCGAGGAAATAGCTCCAGTGATATTGAGCACCTGCAGTTGGGTGGCTATCAATCTTAAGGTCAGCATCGGCACATCGCAGTCATTTGCGGACACATACAGAGATGCCAGCTCGGCTAAAGAGCATGCGATAGCCAGATTACCCACGGTGCTCAAGATAATCCCGTAAACAATTGCAGCAGGGCCGCCATTGTATAGCCCAGAGAGCAAACTACCACCGGCAGATTCCCATGTGGCAAGTAGGCACGTGGAGAATGCGACGGATGAGAAGAAACTGAGATATCTCTGGTGAACAATTAATATCTGCGCAAGTTGATCGAACGATAGATGATATTTACCTCCAGTTGTTGTTTCTGGTGCAATGCCACGCTATTATGGGCATTCCCAGTCCCTGCTAGCCCTGACCGTACAACGCTCCCGCTCTTCAGTTCCATCTCTTCCTGCATATTGAAAATTGGATGAGGATAGCGAATTTGGAGAAAACAAGTCGACGGAAAATAGAGCAGTCGGCCTGCAGGTGGCCAGAAGTACTTAGACTCCTCTGCCTCCGCATTTTCGTCAACAGGGGGGAGAGGGGTGGTAGACAGGGGTCTAAATTGTGCAATGAATGCGAAACAAATAGTCAACGCCGGGTTGAAAAAGTCTTGCCCACTTCGTTGTGAACCCTTGTCGTTCGTGTGATCGTAATGAGCAAGGTGCAGTGCATCGCAGTTTAGTGCGGATTAGTGTTGTTTAGTGTTGTTTAGTGGTGGTTAGTGCTGGTTAGTGGATCAGGATTCGCCGGAGATATTTCAAGCGGCCTGATGATCCTTCGTAAATTTGGCCACGACGATTCCGGGAGCTTTCTAAACCAGATGGAAAAATGCTGTCGGAAAAAAACAATATAAAATCTCCGGCCCATCAGAGTGGTCTCCAATAATTGGGGTGTTTGATTCGACGGGGGTAGCGAGTTCACGGGATTCACAGGATTCACATCCTTGCACGGGATGAGATCCGCCTCGGACATTGCCTAGCACTGAGATAGAGTTCGCGCTCGAAGTAACAACAGGGGTTGTAAATTTCCAATAAGAAATTGCATGACCAGGGATGTGAAAAGGCCATGTGAAAAGGCCAGGTTTTCTTATATGCCGGCGCCCATCCTGCAAGCTCGCCAGAGTCCAAACTACTGAAGACGATGTCAAGGTACGATGGCCGACCAAAAAAATGCCTTCCAGGCCCTTTCAAGTGATAATCGCGGTACTATCATCACCTTGGTGTCGGTGTCTCTTCTGATTGTGGCCATCATCTTCGTGCTCGCTAAGATTAGTTCGGTGATTTATTTCAAGCAGCGACAGACAGCAGTCAATACTCCTATCTGGGTCGCTTTGGTTCTTGCAATTATTCAAGTCGTTATCTTGCAGAAGGCGGTTGACCATGGACTGGGAAAGCACCAGAACCGCCTAAGCGAAGGCGATATCCAAACCTGGAGCAAGTTTGCCTTCGCTGCTCACATTCTGCTCATCGTTGTCTTGGCATTTTCAAAAATGTCGACCATTCTGCTGGTTTGGAAGTTAACGCCAAGCAAGAACCTGCGTCGCAGTTGTACAGTCACCGTTGGTATAGTTGTCGGGTGGTCGATATTCGCAGCGTTGAGTATAGCTTTCCAGTGTGGATTACCCGATCCGTGGCTATACTCCCCCGAGCGATGTGCTGGAGAGGTCAGTTTAATTAAATCAGGGCACCGGGCCACAATTGACTGAACATCCCATCTAATCCCAAACAGGGAGCGATATTCTATCCGATCGCGATCTTCAACATCCTCACAGAGATTATCATTGTTGTCCTACCGTTCATAATGATGCGTAATGTCCAGATGGTCTGGCACAAGCGGGTGAAGATCGTGTGCTCCTTCTCTTTGCGCCTAAGGTATCTTAGCGCTAACTCCAGGACTTTCCCACTGAATTCAACAACTCACTGACTAACCCATCACAGTGTCGTCGGCCTCGGAATTGCTCACCTCGCCCTTCTACCTTCATTCGTCCACTCAACCGACGTCTCCTGTCTGTGACACCCGATTCCCTGTCCAAATCCCCTCAACGCCTCATTAAATTAATCTGACAAATATATAGGGGATATAATCGACTGGGAAATAATCGGTCAGACAATGATGCTCACAACCGTCATAATCTCCTGCGTTCCAACCCTGTACCACATCTTCGCCGGCCTGCACTCTGGCCTGATCTCAACCCAGATCTCTGAAGGGATCGGGTTCGAGCTCCCGCAGTCCAAGGTCAGCGGGTATATCAACCAATCCTCCTCGGGAGTAAGCCGGCACCATTCGCAGTTGCAGTCGCATGGACGGTCAATGAAGAATGGAGGGTCAATGTTTGATGGGTGGGGAGGTGAGACCGGTGTTGTCACTGAGGTTTCGTCGGGTCAAAATCCGAATCAGAATTATGAGGGTGGCAGGCAGTCTAGTTCGAGCGAGGGAGCGGAGAGTACACGACATTTGACGGAAGGAAGTCAAGGGAAGGGGGCCGTGCTAAGGACGGTAGATGTTACGGTGGAGGTTGAAGAGCACTATCACCGAGACCCGCTTTGAGGACCATATATAACATGGGGTATCTGATAGCCCGATAGAGCAGATCAACGTCAATCATGGATGTAGAGGTCGATAAAATTAGAGATATGTAAGATACATTAGCAGAGGGGCACCTATTTACCTAGGTAGCTTTATAGTAATTGATAATCACTCACTAAGGGAGACTCAAGAGTATCAAAACAGAACCTCTGCGCATGGTGTTTATTACTTCATGCATTTTATATTTCCTTGTTTCTTGGACTAAAGACTGTGAATCTTTCCAAATATAAAAGATGGTCATATCATGTCCATCTTGCACCTTTTATTAGGCAGACATATAAAAGGACGGTGCAGCCTTGAGTTTAGGGTCAAGCGAGCACTTGGTCCAAGTTTGGTGGACGCAGACTATTTCCTCTTCCATATTTTCCCCAATCTTCTAACTCCTTTTGACTTTCTACATCTTCATTTTCGGTATACAACATACCTTCATGTTCCTATACTCCACGGTCACGTGTGTTCTATTTTCAATCATTACGTCATCGCTTGGACCCTTGCCGAGGGCCGAAAACAGCAAAATTAAACCGAATACGACGCTCTCCAAGCCCTAAGTAATACATAATCATGGAAAACATACAGACAATCCGATCCCGAAAGTCACATCATAAATCTCGTTCAGGGTGTGGGAATTGTAAAAGACGGCGAATAAAAGTGAGTACTTTCCAAGTCTATGAACCTAGTTGTGGCCTTCGACAAGTCATTCCCGAGATGGATATAAATGAGAGCACCGTTCATTTAAGGACCCTGGATACTCTCAAGCCATCAATTTGTTTTAGATCACGAGTGGACTGGGTTGAGAGTGAAATTTTTGGATGATAACCCACTAATAGTCTACAGTGTGACGAAAGGAAGCCAGCTTGCTCGAAATGCATCCATCATGCTATCGATTGCGACTTTCTCTCGACAGGAGCTACACCATCAGCTTCGCCCTCTTCAGCACCATCCCCACCCAAAGCTTCGAAAGCGCAATTTCAATTCAAGCCTTCTAAATACCAATCTAAAAAATGCAAGCCCAAGGACGAAACATGCGAGACATCTTCGCAGACAGTCTCCACGGAAGTCCAGTCCAAGGATTCCAGCTCCAGCGCCCTATCACAGAGTCAGGATATGATCTCATTCGCCGACCTACGACTCTTCCACCACTTTGTCACAGAGACATATCGCACCCTAGTGGACGAAGCAACCGATCGCAATCAAGTCTGGAGAACTCACCTTCCACAATGGGGGTTCTCCACGCCATCTATCTTCCATCTCATGTTGGCGCTGGCAGCTTTGCATCTGGGCTACCTCCACCCCGAGAAAAGAGACCGGTATGTGTTGCAGGCAGATGACCACTTCACGTTCGGCATTCGATCCGTGTCAGCTATTCTATCGAGCCTTGACTCAGGGAACTGCCAGTCGATCTACATGTCGACAGTGCTGATATGTTTTGTCTATTTTGCACACGGTCCAAAACCCGGTGAATACCTTGTGTTCAGTGAGACCGGCAAGGCCGAATGGCTGGTTCTTATGAGAGGAGTGAGGTCGATTTTGTTCTCTAGCCATGACAAAATCTTTACTGGTGTCTTAGAGATTCAAACCGACCCTGATATTCAGGGCGTCAGCCCCCTGTTACAAGATGAGCTCGAAAAACATCAGTCTCGGATTAAAGCACTTCAACGTTTTATTGAAACGCAAGCTGGCGGGAGTTCCACGTCTCAGATTTATACCGATGCACTTGAAAACTTGTTCGAAATGTTTGAGGAAGCATACCGGTATCTAAGTGCTGGGAAGGATGGTGTTAACTTGATGGCCCCCCTCTTCGGGTGGATATACAGACGGCCTGATGAGTTCATCTGTCTTCTTGAGGAAAAGGAGCCATTTGCGCTGGTTATTCTTGCTTACTGGTGTATTCTTTTGAGGTTCATGAGATCCTCGTGGCTTATGATCGCTTGGGATCGACATGTCATTACGGGAATTCGGCAGTCTCTAGGAACTGAATTCCATCAATGGATTGAGTGGCCTGTGTGTGTCATTTGCGATTGACCTAAGTCAATGGAGAAACTCATTCAACGTCACATCTGTGCCATGTAAATAAAAACCAGACGCGTGACATCGAATGCGAAAGCAAATAATTATCACAACCACATTTCGCTCTTACAATACCCGACAAGGACCGAGAAAAAAAGTGTGCTATGCCTACGGGGTATCTAAGTACCTTTCGTATGGGTAAACCATACAACAGACACTTAATTTCTAGATATTGGATCTGGTGAAAATATTGCATCTGCTGGGGCGCACCAATACCCGGTAGGTGTATGGAGTATTGGGCGCTTGGCACGGTTAGATATGGAGTATAAACTTCAATCCTCTTACTACGGTTCTCTGTCAACCTTAACATCAAAGAAGGCAACTCATGCCCTTACCCTTTCCGCTAACCCCGTTTCGGTCTAGTACACATTCAGCCCAATCCACCTCGCCCGTGTCAACAGCGCGCTTATTCCTTCAGCCTTTTCACATGCGTCCGGCCCACGAGTTCGTTTATCGGTAACAAATCCTAGACACATGATCGACAAATTCAAATTGTGTCATACCATAGCCCCTTGGCGTCAGCTAACCGCAAGAGGGAGGTAAATGGAAGGAGAGCTGTTCGATTAGACCTCGAGATATGTAACAACTTTGTTTCCCACTTTTGTAGTTTCTTTGCCGTTCCTTTCCGTGCCGTGCCGTTGGTGAAAGTAACCTACTCCCGTAGTTCTCCGTGAAGCCACACGGGTGTGGTCCCCGCCCGAGGCATCAAGCCAAATTCAGTGGGCCTGGGCCTTATTAATATTTCCTAATGTTGAGTTGAGTCATATGACAGCGACGGATATTCTACCAACACCAATTTAGAGACATATTTGCTACTCCGTACTTTGAACTATTTTCTACTTTTCTACTCATCGGATTTTCGCAACTGCCGCGGTGGAGTCGAGTGGGGACTTCCGACGATCCCAATCACGGGTGTTGTTTCCAGTCTCTTAGTAGAACTTTGCACCGAGGTACGGAGTATTTCCGAACGTTGAACTCCGTTCCGAGTATAGAGCTGTCATGGATATGTATATTCTATGGTTCCAAGGTTGTTTTCGGAAATTCCCGATGCCGGTGAACTTATTCGAACCATGGTTCACTTGAAGTCGACTTTGGTCTGGACTCTAACCTTTCCAGTGATGGGATTCGAGATTTCCAAGGTTAATTTTTATGCTTAAACAGGTGTGACATGCATAGAATATCCATGGATATATGAGGTCTAATATCTAATGCTATACACTCTATATAGAATCACCTAATTTTGATCCACAGTAGGGTAATCAGTATAATGGAAGGTGTTGTCCTCAAACGGTCCATAAAACCGAGTTCGGTCATAAGGAGCCATGGGGATCTTTTCCTTCAGTCTGTGCACTAAATCTGGGTTGCTGGTAAAGTATCGGCCGTACAACAGAGCATCGTACTTGCCCGATTCCACTACTCCCCAAGAGTTTTGATCGTCCCATCCACCCGCGGAGAAGAACGGGGTGGAGCCGAAGATCTGACGGAAACGATCAAGAGTCACATCCAACAAGCCCCAGCTTTCGAGGAACTTATCCTTCTCTTCAGCGCCAAAGATTTGTTCATAACGCTAGAACAGGTTAGCAGTGTACCATTAGATAGATGCAAAACAAAACAAAAACATACCGGCTCAATAAAGCTGACATACGACAGCGATGGGAGAGTCTTCTTCAGACCCTCACACAAGTGAGTCCAAGTCTCAATGCGCTGTTCTCCGCGCGCTTGATTGAACATACCAAACGGCGACAATCTAATAGCCAGATTCTGCTCACCAATTGTCTTGGCCACCTGCTCCATCAACTCAAACACAAACTGGCAGCGCTTCTCTGGAGTACCGCCGTAAGCATCGTCACGCTTGTTGATGTTTGAGCTCAAAAATTGCTCCGGCAGGTAACCATTTCCGCTATGGATCTCCACGCCATCAAATCCAATATCCATGGCAGTCTTAGCCGCGGTGCAATAATCGTCGATAGTTTGCTTGATGTGTTCCACTGTCATTTCGATGGGCGGGTGATTGGCGTAGGGCACGGGCTGAGTGGAGCCGACGGGCGGATGCGAATAACATTCCGTCGGCGAATCCCACACAGAGGCCGAGGGGCAAACTGCCGGCGATCCGGTCATCTGAGGGATCGTAGCACGCCCGGCGTGCCACAATTGGCAAAAGATAATCCCTCCCTTTGCATGAACGGCGTCCACGACTCGTTTCCAACCCGCAGCTTGTTCGGGGATGAAAAGACCGGGTACTCCGGGCATACCATTGCTCTGTTAAAACGATGTTAAAAAAAATTTGAATAATTAAAGTTTGAATAATTGTCATTACCCGTGCAATTCCAAGGGAATTGCTCGGTTCTCCGTACAATATCCGTTCTCATAAAGGGGACCGTGTGCCACCAAATTGGGTTTGATGCTTACCTCAAGTGATGGTGGAATCCCTTCAGAGATTATCAAGCCACCTTTGGTCGCACGCTGGGAATAATACTCCACAACCGCATCTCCAGGTATCCAGATGCGATTGGGATGATCCGGGGTGCTGGAAGGATTCAATGGTTCTCCCCGGTTGCGGGTCAAAGGCGCATGGACAACACGATGCTCGAGGGTAATGTTGCCATTTGAAATAGTCAGGGGTTTGAAGAGACCGGAGTCTTTTCCGTTCAAGTAGTGGACGGTCATGTTTTTTGGTCTTTTTTTTTCTTTTTGTCTTTGGTTCTATGCCGTTTTACTATGTAATGAATTATCGAGAAGGGAATTATCGAGGGAAAAGAGGAAAAGAGGGAAAAAAGAGAACAAAACCTCACACAACTCCTTTTTTCGCACTATGTCGATCACTAATTAAAGGCATTGTTGCTGTCAAAGCTGTCATAGTGCCTCGGCTAGTCATTATAGGGTTCAACTAAGGCCCATTTATTTATCCATTTGGTAAAACAACGGTCTTAGTGGCAAACCGGTGCAAAATTTTGGATCGGACTAATACGAGGCACTAGAATCGATACTATTTGCCCGGCTGGTTGGCACCTACGACGCTCGTGCATACGGGTGGAGTATAAACTGAGTCTAGTGTCGTCTAGTGTTATTCATGGATCATGGAAGTCTCCCATAACCATTCAGAAATGAAAAAAGGCCCGGTGGTGGGGTCTATCGCACCCCCTTGAGCAATCATCACCGTCATGGATCCCGCGCGCCACTGTTACATAGTCGACAGAGTAGTGGTTCGATAGCTTTCAAGTCCCCGCTAAAGATCGTCTTTTCTGTCCATCCTCATTTTCAAGATATGGAGTCCTTTATCTTCTCGAGCCCCTGCTACTTTGGATTGTAGGGGGAGAACTTCACCTTCAAGTCCATCATGACTGTCGAGAACCCAACAGATGTCTTGCATACTATCAATATTGTCACACAAGCTCTGTGTATTCCAATCGTGACTATTTTCGTAGCATTGCGATTTTATACCCGGTTTCGATTCAAGCAATCCTTGGGGGTTGAAGATCGTGAGCTGTCCCTTGCAGATATACATTTTTCGGGGATTTTGTTAACCATTCTCTAGTTGCCTGTACAATTGCTTGGGTACGTTGAGCAAAATAATTCAGTGCTTTCTTAGCCAAGACTGACTTTTTATGCAGTTTCTGTTTATGGGATATTGTGCAATCTCCCTCGTCAGTAGGTGCTAATACTTCCTACATGATAACAACCACATACTTACTCTACTAGTCGGTAACCATGGTGGAGGATATCCAATTACCGAACTCGACACTACGGAGCAAATCGCATTCAAAAAGTTCTGTTACATTGCGACCATTCTCTACTGTCCGATGGCACTCTTCGTCAAAATCGCCCTCCTAGCCATTCTCACCCGCATCTTCGCTCCCTTCCGTGGCAAAGTCTGGTTCATATATATCTTCCTCGGCTGCTTATGCTGCTACTACACCGTCGCCCTGATCGTCAAGATTCGCATCTGCGGGCCCATCCCCAGGTACTGGCTTGGTGACCAGGTGCCGGGAACCTGCCTGGACCAAACCGCCGCCCTCATTGCCGACTCCGTGATTAGTGTCGTCAGTGACCTTATCATCCTTGTTCTCCCGTTGCCATTGACATGGTCTTTGCAAATGTCGCGCAATCGAAAGCTTCGCGTGATAGGTCTGCTCGGAGCTGGTGGACTGGCCACCGGATTCAGTCTTTACCGATTGGTCCTGGTGTTGAAAGGTTCAAGTGATGAGGGCCTTATGTTCGTTCGTGTCATTCTGTCCGGGTATGTCATGAAACCCTTCCCTTTCTTGGTTCTTTTTCTTTTTCTAACGACTAGTAGAAATGCCGAGGGAGGCGTCGGATTGATCTGCGCTTGTCTACCCGTCCTCAACGTCATGTTGGCCCATTACAAGAAGAACTATTCGTCGCAGAAATACTACCAGAACGGCGGCTCGTCCCATCCGTTGAGTGATAGGAAATCGGCCCCGGCTTCCAATGCTGCTACTGACTGGGACAAGGTGACGAACTTTGGTGACCAAAGCCATCTGATTTCATTTGCCGGTCCTCCAGAGGGCGTCGGCTCTTCCGACTCTATCCACAACCAGGACGGCATCAGGAAGACGGTGGCTGTATCACAGACTGTGGAAACACATTAACGGGGGATGCTGCTGTCAAATGTCTCATTATTATATACCCACTCATTAATACCCTAATGAATTTTCTTTATGTCCTCTTTCTTTCCCTCCTTCTACCTGTATATTCTGATTTAGGTGTACGTGCATTATGACTTATAAAGGTGGTGTATGTCTCAAGTAGTCTGGTTGTCTTTGTCGCCATGGATGTATACCCTTTGTATTCCCAGACGATCAAAAACAAACCAATGCCCTCCCTTCTCTTCTTTGTTCGAGGGATATCTTCACCCATCAACCATGCTAATATAAATACCTCAATTCCCCCCAATCTACTCAAATTCATCAGCCAGTTAAGCCAAGTCGGTCCTCACCAGAAGCATGTCTCCAGTACTCGGATCCTGGCAAGACTACCTCCTACACGAATGCCGCATCTTTAAAAACAACTTAGATACTCAAGCCAATATCCTGCGGTGCGATCCAGATGGTCGAGGTAAGGAGCGCATCCAGGATGTCATTCGCGCGGTGTGGGAAATAACTATTCGAGCGGATCTGATCATTAGCATTGCACTCGGTATGATCACCGAGGCTTCCGATAGCGAGATCATTCGTCGGAATACTGCTTTTTGGCGCCGTGGACGTGATGGTCATTACAAGTTCGAGAATGTGTTTCTTCGCGTGAAGCTCGACATAAGCTCTGTACTATGGACCCTTAATAAGGACCCATGTCAGCGCAGATGTGATTGCTTTGCTGGGGGTCTTGAGAGAATCGCAAGGCAGGTTTCATATCACCTAAATGTTTAGATGGTTATCTATGAAATCATTTGTTGCAAGGTGCTTTTTGTCCTACCCCCCGTGGAGTCATCCTCAACCTCAGATATTGTTTTTCTCCGCCACCACGTTATTCTCGACCACTTCCTTGGCTGTAAATTTGATGGATAAAAATAGCAGTACAAAAAAAAAAGGTACAAAAAAGAAATCTCTCCCTCGGGGAATCGAACCCCGGTCTCCCGCGCTTATCGGTGTTAATGACAAGCGGAAATCATCACCACTAGACCAAGGAAGATGTGATGGTCGAGTTACTGCTCGGCCACTTGGCTGGTTGATGTAAGTGGCTGGCAGTATTGACTTTATGAGTGATCTCTATTTAGGTATACATCCACGCACAATCCGCCTATGTACAACATTCAACCCTTCAACAACTTTATATAACTATCATATCTATATTTGAAAATCAATTCAAATATATTCAAACGTTTATTGAATAGGATATAGTTACATCACTATTTCCCCGGAAATTTTTTAAAGTGCAAAAAAACCAACAAAATCGTGGCGATATATATCTACAGTAAGGATAAATCATACGTGACAATATTATATCGAAACAATGATAATTTTTGGGAGCCCGCAAAAAAATGCCCTGACTGCATACCCATCCCATTATAAAAAAAAAGAGTATCATCATCTAAGAGTCGGATTTGGATCAAACAAGCCCGAGTTAGACCACAAGCCATCCAACCCCGTATCAAACCCAAGGGACCACGACCCATCAATAAACGGCCATTGAAACATATCAGTTTCAAAATCATGATGACCGCCAGGCGCAGAATTCTCTCTAGCAAGAAAGCTGTTCTCACCACCAAGACCGGGCGACGACGAAGTCCCTCCACGGACATGAGAGCTGTGTGTATCACGAGATTCAGAGGTTCGTGCCCTAGTCGCATACGCGTCTCTGCTCGGACGAGATCGGATATCACCGTATTCATCCAGGGTACCCGCGAGGGCGAATCTCCTGGGACTGTGCATCCCGGCCTCGGAGTGGGCTTGGTTACTCTTGACCATTTCGTAGAATCGATTTGCTTCCTGGACCGTTCGCCACTGATTATTGTTAGCTGCCAATGCGTGGTTAGAGATGTTTTGGAAATACTCACCCAGCTGCGACCGACGGGCCAGAGTTTACTAAGTCGCTCGAGATAGTCAAGGTTTCGGCTCTTTTCTTCTTCCGCCCGTTTGAGGCCACCTGGATATCGCTGTGGCGCGATTGTTCCGTACATGTTGATATGAGCAGCGACAAAGACACTGAAGCCGGAGTACGGTGACATGACGGGTGCACCAGAGGCATCCAGTGCATTGAGGATACCTCCGATCTGCTGAGCGACTTCAAATAGCTGTTTGATTGTGTCGGGTTCCCCTTGGGCGTCATCGTTTGTGTCGTGGAAAACGTCGGAATGGGGCTTGAGGTTGGATAAGAAGCGGTCCCGATGGAGGAAAAGGATGCTGAAGGAAATGGAGTTAGTATCGTTGGTTGGAATGCGTTAAATAAAAATCAATACCTCATGCAATGAACCAGATTGATGTATGCAAACAGCTCCCCGTATCCGAGTGCCACGTGCGACTGAACGCTGGTAGCTGGGAACTGAACTGTTACATCCTGAAGAGACCTCCATTCATCCAATTCCTCCCTGAGGACTTGCCAAGTCAAGAGGAGCGGGGAGGCGGAGTCGCTCGAAGACAAAGAAGCGAGTGCTCGTCGATGTTCGTTCGCAAATCTTAGGATTCGTACGAATATGTCGAATCCTCGAGTGACAATTGTGAGACCATGCTCAATCGTAAGATCTCTCGCTAGCAAACAGTCTTTATTCATATCAGCAGGCATCAACCTGCTAGCTGGCGTATGATTAAACGTGAAGTCCCGATCACTGATAGGGAGAGGAACGGAGATCTGGGAGAATGAGAGCGCAAAGTGTTGACGGGCTCCAGAGCTCAGCTCGCAGTCTTGCGCAAAGCAGCACCAGTACGTTCGGACCAGCTGTTCGTACTGTGTTTGTGATGCATGGAACTCTTGAGGATTGTGTTCCATGCTATCATCTGCCATCTTCAGAAGGGATTGAATCATGTATGTCGCCATGCCTGATATTTGTCAGACAGTGCTCTACGACCAATTGGGGATTTGATACATACCGCTATACATCCAAGCTTGATATGGTCGCCCGGCGCCCCACTCATAAAACGAGAGCATCACAAGGGACTGGGCAAGGTAAAGCGAAGGGGCCTCAAGCACGCGCTGCGCAAGGTTTTTGCGTGCATAGTCGGCATATGTTTCTTCTTCTTCGAGTTCATTGCTTTTCATAAACCGCGCGCACAAGGAAAGGACCGAGGCCACAAAGATGGAGTCTACCGAGTGGACGTTGGATGATATGTCGGAGATTAAAGAGGGGTAATGAAGAAAATTAGTGATTGGGAACTTCTTTCTGTATGTTTCCACTGCGCTGATGACGGTTGCCGGTGATAGCGCTGCTATGGGATCCTTGGATAGATCTTGAGCCACGGGGGCATTCTCAGGGGGGTTTCTTTCCGCATCTCCAACCACTGGCGATAAGGCGGACGATGCCTTGCGCTTTCTTGGGGTCCTGGACGAGATAGTATTCCTCGGTGTCCTCTGTCTTGAGGCGCGGGGATCTGTCAAATTACATCCTTGGTTCTTGGTCTTCAAGCAACGTTGACAAGGCGGTTGCCCTTCATGAACACATTTGACTTTTGCTTGTCTGCATAAAAAATCAGATAAGATTACGACTAAGAGCGCCGATAGAAACTTACCGACAAGCGTCACACGATATTGACAGCCTCATCGGGTGTACATACGGCGAAGAGTGGAGTGGGCCGTGGTAAGAATAAGAAGTGGCTGTCAAGGATCGTGGTGCATACTAAGACAAGTTCACTCCATCGGATCAATGTAGGAGCGCAATTACACCAATGCAACCATTTATGTTGATTAATTGAACAATTTGCACACACGTTTGAAGGAGCAAGAGTTATGCGGATATCTTAGTATCCGAACATGGTTAGCGCGATCAGCTGACTTGGATCTATGAAGAATTTCGATGTAAATTTTTGAATAACTTCAAATTCTAGTTATAATTATATTAATATTGGGTGTCTCTATAGTGCTAATGAACCGCATAAAAAAATCACCGAGGGAAACAGTTAATGGATGACACTTCAAATGTTGGTAGCCACAGTCCACTGTTGCACCCACGCATTGAACTTGTCAATTTCCCGCTCATCGGTGGCCCAGGACGTCACAAGTCGAATCACGGAGTTTCCATCATCAAGCTGTTCCCAAACATAGAATCGGAATCTTTCATGCAGTGTGCGAACCAATTGCTGGGGAATGGTGACAAACACCTGGTTTGTCTCCGTCTCCGCAGCCAACTTATAACCCAACTTCTCGAAGCTGGTTGAGATCTTCTGAGCCATCTCATTGGCATGTGTGGCCAGTGTGAAGAACAAGTCTGATCGGAAGAGCTCCATAAACTGAACTCCCAGAATACGGCCCTTGGCCAGCAAAGCGCCATGTTGTTTGAGGTGGAAATCGAAACCATCGGCTAGCTCCTTCTTGAGAACGATTGCTTCTCCCATCAGAGCACCGGCTTTGGTACCGCCGATCCAGAAGATATCGGTCATATCGAAGATCTCCCGTAGAGTGAGATCGTTTTTCTTTGAGCAAATTGCCGCGCCCATTCGCGCTCCGTCTATGAAAAGCAGGAGGTTTGATTGCTTGCAAATGGCGGAGAGGCTGCTCAGCTCACGTTTTGTGTAAACAGTGCCAGTCTCCGTGGCATTAGAGATATAAAGTAGTCGGGGTTTGGCGTAATGAGGGTAGAACTGGTTTTGCTGGAGCGCCTTTTGGAGATTGGTGGGCGTCATCTTGCCGTCGACTGCAGGCACGAGGATAAGCTTGTGGCCGGTTGCCTCGATCGCACCTGCCTCTTTGCAGGCAATATGACCCGAATCCAATGTAATAATAGCCTCATAAGGCCTTAGACAGCTGGCGATTCCTATGAGATTTGCGGAGGTTCCGCTGGGGACAAAGAAGACACCCGCTTCGTCCTCGGTGCAGCCGATCTTGTTTCGGATCAATTGCCGGGCACTGATGCTGTATTCATCATTTCCATAGGAGACTTGCTGTATGGAGTTTGTTCGCAAAAGAGCTTCAAGGATTTGTGGGTGAGCTCCCTCGCTGTAATCATCCATAAGGCTGTATGGAGGGCATGCCTCATCTTGGCATAAGCTTGTTGAGGGCATAGTGGGTATCAATTGTTTGTGGATTTGGTTGAACACAACAAACAAATGAGTTCCAAGGTTGAACAAGGTTGAACTTTACAGAAACAAGTGAGGAAAAAAAAGAAAAGAATTATTTGAACCAGGACTACATTATAGACAAGGGAAAAGAATCCTCGGGAATAATTTTCTCGGGAATGTTGCCACTTTATTCCCGAGATTCGTCAGTACCGGGAATCCCATGCGGGCATTTCCACCAGCGCAGTTATTCTCAGGTAAATTTGTGGGCCGGGAACATGGGGTAGCACCACTTTACTGCGGCTTCTCCAATTGGTATAAACAGGTCTCAATTAAGATATTTCAAAGATATGTTGTGAGACATTCTTCCAGTTGAGGTAATATATGATCAAAATTAGTGTCTCTGATCGACACCGGCTTCCGAGCTCCGGACACTCTGGAATCGACGATCGAAGAGTCTAAAAAGACACAATGGTCACTTTGGGGTGCCCCTCATGCTATACCCCTCATGAGGGGTATTCCGTGAGGGGCATTCACTTAGACTCTTGGGATTTGTATCACATTGAGACTAGTTTCGGTGACCGATATGAGAGTTGCTTGCAGTGATAAAAGTATTGCATCAAGCCTGAGAACACCACTATCGCGGTTATATGTAGTCCTCCCCAAGGCTCAACCCGTGCAGGTCCACATGGTCGCATTGCCGATGCTTTCAAGGCCCAGGTCTCATCGTAAACAGTGGGATCCACTTACCGGTCTTCTAGAATGTTCAAGAATATCACATTTTATTTGCTGGTATTAGTGGATAGCTCGGGAGGAGATTCCGTAACATGCTTATAGAGGTCACTGACAGCCATGCCAAAGTAAAAGGAATAATGAGAAAGGTGTGAAAAAAAATTACATGCAACAAGATGGCAGGACTAAATTAATAGAGAACAAGGTTTGAATAAAAGACGACACTATGTTTTAGTGTGTGATAGTCCGTATAAAGACTTGGCGAATCAGAACAGCACTCTTGCCCGGAGGCCGCCGGCGGTTGGGTATGATTGAGGTATTACTTTGTGTGATGGCCGCCATTATTAAGAAGCCGACCATATGATGATCTTATAAGCTCATAAGCCCATAAGCTCACTATA